CGCCCTCGTACAGTCGCGTGCGTAGTCAAGTGAAAGTTTTTTAGTATTCTTCACTTTCCAAAGCGCCCGTACTTTCTGTAAAGCGTGTTTTACATCAAAAATAGCTGAAATTCAGGGCTATTTTTTGATACCTAAGCGCGGATTGTAGCATAAACCAGTGTCGAGAAAAGCTCGTTCAAAACTAGACTACGCAACACTCCGCACCATCAATATGGGTGTGGAGTACTATTGTTATATTTACTGTAGGTTATTTAGCAACAAAAGCATCGTTTTAGCTCTGTGGTTTTTTTCTTTGAAGCCCTGGAAACGCGCTCTTTTAATAATAAGCGAATCATTCAAATATGAAAAGGGATGCCAGTTTTTATAGACGTTCCTTTTTAGACTTTTGTAAAACTGAATGTTTTCTGTAGCACCTGTGTCTCGTGAAAGAATCTAAAGAATACTTCAGAGATTGTTCTCTTTAAAAACAAACGAGTTTCCAATCAGCGTATCCGGGACCCAAATTGCGTCCGAGGAGACGAATATGTGCTCAATGTCGAAGAAATCACTCGCATTCCATGCAAGTCGCGTGTCTCGCCAAAACTGGAATTCCCTATTCAAATATGAAACAAATGATATAAACATTGACTCACGAACATTTTAGCGAATATGTGCTTTCTTCATTGCTTATTATTCGCATACCGTTTTTAATTGAAGGCAAATGCTCAGCAGTTGGCTCTCGGCATCCAACGAAATCAGTTTGATGTACCAAAGGTCGAAATGAATGTGCAGCTTCGGGCCTGTCCAGCCTGGAAAGCCGAGATTTTGCTCATCTTAATTCACCGCTTAGTCACAAATTTCTGCAAACCAGTGGCATTCTTTGGTTTCACTCCGTAGATTGGCGACAAATAGCGGTTATAGCCTCGTCCCGTGAACAGCTGATTGTACAAATTGTTGACAGCATTTTGATAGCCCGGTGGTTCGTCTGAAAATTCTTTGATTTTTTTTGCTTATTTCCAGTTAAAGATATGATATTTTTGAGCCGTTAGTTTAGCTCGCTAAATCTCTCAACTCTAAAAAATAGCTTTTCACGGGAAAAAGTCGATGAGACTCCGATTTTCCTGTCAGAAATATTGACAGGAAACTATTGGAGTTGGAGAACTCTAAACTCTAATTGGAGAAACTCCATTTAAAACCGCTTCCGGATCTGTTTAGATTCATGCTTGCTTGGATTTATTTTTGGTTTGTTATTAGAGAATCGACTTTCTCAATGTTTCACCTGCATTTTCGTTGTTCACGTTGCTGAACTGTGTGACAGACTCATTCATGAAGCAAAAGAAAGAAAAGGAAAATAATAGTTTCATCATTTTGAGAGCTTAAAGATCGTTTTAAATAGAATAAAAAAAAAAAAATCAATAATTTGAAATTGGAGAATGAAAAGCTCCCGTTCGTTGGTATTTCTTGGTCTTTCTCTCATGACTACTTGAGCCCTTCGATGAAAGTGGAACGAAATAAAACAAAAGAAAAACGAAAAAACCCCCACACATGTCTTTATTGCCTGGAAAAGTTATAGAAAAATAAAATTCTCCCCATTGCGATCGTGGGAAAATCGTCTTGTGTGAAACGCAAAGTATCTAACGGGTAATTCTAGTATTGGGTTGGTGAATTGACTTGCAGACTTTCGCGGGACTTGCAGATTGGATATAAGTCTAATTTTTGATTCTCTACAACTTTTCCATTGACACCAAAATGGGTTTCTTTTGAAGAAAGTGCTCAAACTGGGGGGACAGCTTCCAGTCCTCCATTTTGAGAGTCTCACACTTATCTCACACACAAACCAAAATCCTACTACGAAAGAGGAATCCGCAAATTGCCTGTAAAATGGGCAGAAGTCGTCAATAATAATGGAAATTATTTCGAATGAATTGCTGGTTTTATGTTGAATAAATGAGTCGAATGATATAGGTCGTATAGGATTTGGTCGGCTCAGCCAGTTGCTCCAGCG